GAAATGTCTCATGTGATCTCTTCGGAGTTGAAGTTACAATATCAAGAACTGATGTTGACAGCTCAAGCTTTTCCGCCTGTGAAATTCGGCTCTCAGAAGAGAGAATTCTTCGCAGTCGGAGAGAAACATTTTCGCCGGTCTTTAAGTCGTCAATCAGCCTCCTGGACGCTGTAGATAACATGAGACGCAGAAAGCCTCAACTTCTGCAAAGTCGATGGGAGATACCAGGGTGCTAGGTTCTTTCTTCGAACAATGGTGAGACTGAACGGGAGTCTTAGAGTTCAACAAGCCAACAACAGGATAGCGTTCGAGGGATGAACCGAAATTTGGGCCGTCAACCAGGAGTTACTCCAATGTGCTCTATAGTCTCCAGGACGTCTCTGGAGTCCGGAGTCTGGACTGGTCGCAGCGACCAGTCCATTTGAACTCTGTATATTTGAATTTAAAATATTGGCACGAAAAATGTTTTCAAGTGATGACCAACGAAAGCTGTTCTCGGATCAAGGAAGGTGTTTAAGAAGGTGCGGAACGTCATCTGCGAGAATCGTAGGGGGACTCCCTCCTCCTGCTGTTCCTCGCAATGTAGTTCTTCTTGTTTATGGTCGCACGCTACTAATTCCGAAGCGTGGTAGATCATCGTAATAAAACCCTTCGTACCCCTCCTAGTCCCCACCTCACTATTTCTTTAGGTCATTCGTTGTAGTGTGAGGTTAACACAAATTTTTCTTGTTATCGCTCACATCACGGAGCTCCTGTTTGTGAATGCGGTCGGAGCATAAATCAGGAAATTGTGAAAGAACAGAACCATGTTCAGTACTATGCTCCACACCTCGTGAACATCGGCCAATTAAAGGTTTAAGAGGGCAGAAACCAGCTTTGTACTCTGCGCGTAAATCCTTACAAAACACCATCATCCAAGATGAGGTCGAAGGCTTGGCCGAGATAAGTCCATACATCGAAACTATCGAAACAACCACGTACGCTTTAAGGCTGATACGATAGAAGCCTCCGCCAACGTTTGTCGATGATTCTGACGAACTCTATCAGAGGCCTACCCAGAACCGGTGTTCTTGTAGCCTCAATATCACAACCAAGCCCTCCCACCAACTTAATTGGTCGTAATTAGTAGGCTATTCGTAAACCGTACACCCTTTCACCACAGTTATCGCTGCTCACAACTTTATAAGCGTAGAAGTTAGTTCTCGGAGTTACTTCGGACTGTTGGGCTTCGCTGCATTATCATCCATCGTGGTCTTCCTGTCCGTATGTTCCGCCAACAGATGATCTTTGGAGCACATCGCTAACAACATGCTCTAGTGCTACATCCCTCATTCCCAGAGTATTCATGGATTGAAACCTACCGAGAAAGCCCTGAAAGTCAAGAACCAGGTAGCAGTGCACGGTATAGCACGTTTAGCTCCACGTACCCTTGCAGTTCGAAGCTCTTGACTCAAATGAAAGGAATACCAAGGGTATTTGTGAACACCAACGACACCCATACGGATTGTTTGTACGAAAGGTGGATTGACAAACAAGAAGGCGACCAAGCCGCAAATCAAAGCATAGAGTTTATGCATTGATTTCTGCGAATCGGAATGCTCATGTTGCTGATCACTCTTGCTATCTACTACCAGTCTCTAATTCCCGTTCTCATCCTCATTTGCATTCATGCTGCTCTTGATTTCCCGCTTTTTCTGCTGCACCTTCTTCCTGTCCCAAGCGAACCCGTACCCGCTCCCACCGATTTTGGGAACGTTACTCTTCTGTAGTGCTTCTTTCCGTGCTCTCGCAATTTGCGTAACATCTATCACCTTGTTACGTCGTGGAGTATTGGTTTGCTGTGCACCGGACGACAACGGAGGACCGCTCTCACCCGTAGAAGAAGAACCCAATCGAATATCGGGGATTCCCTTAGTAGAAGCCAAGACAACTGACTTGGGAGGGGTAGCAGGCCGACGTCCATGACCAGGCCCACGCCTCTTCCCGCCACGACCTCGACTCCCAGCTCCACCCCAAACCGCCCCTGCGCGTAATGCGACATCAGCCGGTCGCGCATCCTCTTGAGTAGGGGGAGCGTTTCCACTACTTGAACCCACGCCTGAAGAGCTGCTGTTATTTGAAATGCTCAGCGATGGAAAATCAGAAAGGGCGGTCGTAATTGGCGCCGGCCGTGCTGAGGAATTCGCTCTGCTCTGTTGACTGGGCTCTGAACGTGGTGCAGGGTTTCTTCCACTAGTGATCGTAGATGACAACGATGGAAACGCATTCGCCAGGACACCAGAGCTTATCCCGCCACTGCCGCTTGCAGGAACGCCGGCAGCTCTCGCTTGTCCGAGAACCCGCCTTGGAGGAGGTTCTCTCAGCACAGAAGCGGCAGTTTTTTGAGGTATACGCGCCTTGCTTGACGACGCACCAGCGGACGAAGAGGGACCTGCTCCAGAAGACGCCTGAGCCTGAGTGGGTTCTTTTGCGGCTGGGGCTTCAGTTCGATTGACTCTTCCCAAACGCGGAAATTCTTCTGGGCCCAGATGGCCAAATCGCTTTGCTTTCGGAGTCACTCTGCGGGGGGAGGGGCATCAGAAAGAGTTGGAAACTGTTCCGTCTGGGCACTTGAAGATGATTGAGATGTTGCACTAGGCCCACTAGGGTCCAAGTATCCAGCTTGACTTCCAGGTGTATTGGTTCTTCGCAAGCACACCTGCAGCAAAGGTTCCCTCAAAAGCGGATTTGGCAAAAGAGACACCAACTCCGGAAGAATATCACGTACAGCTGCACGAACTCCAAACGCGTCTACCACAGCGTCATAGTACTCTTCTGCCGACTTCCTTCCGTTCTGAAACTCTGAAGAAGTAGAGCGGAACTGCTCATACTCTGCTGGTTCCAACAGTGAACGCATTGTTCTCACGAGTACTGTATTCCTTGCTTGCCTTTCTTCAGCGTCTCTTGGAAGCGCAAGCGGGTGGAAACGACCATCGTCAGGCCTTCGCGTCAAGGCGATAGACTCTTGGTCAGCATCTTCGGCAGCGGAGACTGTATCCGTAGGTTGACTTCTGGAAGAGTTTGCAGAAGGCTCTGCCGAACGAGCGGCGGTTGCTGCCACGCTGGATGGACTTTCTTCATCTGCTGGTACAAAGTCAGTAGGGTTCGCTTCAAAATCTAGTGCGCCAGAGAAGACAACATTGGAAGATAGAAATGCTCGGCGACGAGCGGCTTGACGGTCCCGTTCACGCTGTTCATCTACTGGAGAATGCATGGCAGGACGCCTTGTCCGTTCTTCTCTGTGGAGATCGTGAAGATTGACACGAAGAGTGCGGGAGCGAGTTCCACGAGCGTTGTCGTTATGGCGGGTATGGATATGTGCTTGTAACTCGATATTAGTGGCGAACACAATACCCCTGCACGAATCGTGTTGACAGACGTAATGTTCGTGTTCATAATGTCTTTCCAGCTGCTCAAAGGTGGCGTAGTATTCATGTAATCGTCCACTACGTTCGCACACTGTGCAGGTCTCGTGGTCCTCTTGTAAATGGTTGTATATAGCGTCGTCGTCAAGAAAGTACTTACGACAAAACTTGCACATGGGATGGGCTTTCCGCATGTGAGCACGATGACGAGAACTGAAGTTGCGATCCTTATCAAGAGGATAGAGTTCAATTTCAGATACAAAAGCCTTTCTTCCATTGAAACATATGTTACAATAAACACAACGATGCTCCGCTCTGGCATGTGCACGTAGTTGTTCCGCGTTGGAAAACACGGAGTTTTGTGGAAACTTGAAGGTACAAGCTTTGTGAGAACATTTCCAACCTCGCAAAGTTCGCAGTTGATCGTATCTAGCGTAATCAGTAAACCAGATATTGACCTGCTTGTCATGAAAGGCGCCCGGTAAGGCCACTCCTTGCTCAAACCTCATTCCCTGTTTGTAAAGGTGCAGCGGGACGAACACAACTCCTTTTATGGTTTCCTTGCACATAACACAGTGTTTACGATCGTACAGGACGCGCATACGATGGAAGCAATCGCCGCATACAATGTGACCGCAATGACCAACTGCCCAATCTGCAGCCTTTTCAGCGCAGATGGAACATGTGGTATGTGAAGCTTCTTCCGAATGTTGCTGAGTAACGCGTGATTCGGAAGTGGTGTGCTTTGGAGCGGGGGTGTTTTCCGTCTTGGATGCAGAGGTTGAAGCGTTAGTGTGGCGTTTGCGCTTTGCGCTGGCGGTGTTGTTACGCTTGGGGTTTCTCTGCGGCATGTTTAGAAGGGTTGGGAAGAGTGAAGTAATGCAGAAGTGGGGGGGTTGGAATGAGCGTAAGGGGATAGTGACGCAAGGGGGAAAGAGGCTTGCGAAGAACAACGGTGGAGAGGTTTATGACGTTTGCGATGCGTCGCTGGCAATAGATGTGCATGATGCATGCAGCAGGCGACAGTGCTGCAATTCGCTGCCGACAGGTACCTACGTGTACACGAAAGCAGCTCAGTTATTCTCAAACGTACAACTTGTCCACAAATCTGCCTACGATTCGATTCAGAAGCAGTATAATCAGGAAACATGTGCCGTGCTTGGCTCAAGTGGAGCTTCCTCTGGCGACCAGGAAGAGGATAAAACGATCTGAGTTCAATGCAAACCACGTCTCAAAATTCAACAGAAAAAGTGCAGTAGAACAAAGAAAAATGGGAATAAACAAACTCATGCTTCTATACCGCAACTACTTCGACTGATACCTCCACAACGCCAGCTGCAAGGTTTCACCACATGCAATTACAACATGGCACTGAAACCACCGACGCCGCTGCAACCAGTGCTATAGAGAATACTTTGATCATGAAAACCAATCTTATAGACATTTCAGGAGATATCTGGATCGAGCACTGCCTGAACATTGGTCGAAAGCTGCACGAAAATCCTGTCGGGGCGACAAGGGTTGCGCAATACAGAACACCAAAAACATGCTCAAACTATAAGAAGGGTTCACTTGCCTGCCTTCATAAGCGAGGACGGGTCTGTAGCTCAATTGGTAGAGTGCTCCCTTAGCATGGGAGAGGTACCGGGATCGAATGCTGTGCACGATTGGCCCGGCAGATCCATCGCAACAACGCGGTCTCCGCGGCCTTTTGTTGCACTGTTTTTTAAAGCAGTGCAACAGCAGAGGGAAATGAATCTTCAAAAATGAGACTGACTGAGAGTTGACTTTTTTATGGAGACCATACTATTCAAAAGCATGTGCCACATAACATACAGGTACGGAGTTTGATTATCCGGTTAAATAACATACTAGTGACGCAGGTGATTCTGCTTTAGACCTCCAGTAGACATAGTTGCAGAAACCGCCATCCCCTTGTTCGTCAGTGCTATTGGATTATTCGTGTCCATGTCTACATGTTTCTCACTTTGTGCTCTACTTCGAACCTAGACTTTGAGACAAGCGCCTATCGCGTTGCTACCATTGACCCGCTGAGCATCATGTCGGACAGACGAGCACAGCTACCAAGGGTAGCACGGTATGATTTAAGCGAACTATCATGACCAAAAGAAACTGTACCGTACGGTCCGTACGGCTGCTAACCCTCCTACCCAAGCAAAATTTGTACGGGTTCTATAGTCCAGCATGCGGATGGATCGTGAAGCGCAGATTTTGAAAAGAGGACTGGGGTCTAGCTAGTAGTCTGATGCATGTACTGTAGCGAACCACGGCTTCTATGACCTGAGCCATCAATGCAATTTGCTTTTTCCATTCTCTTTGGACACAGTCGACATGAAATGGATATAGTAATGCGGCTATGGACGGATGGTAGGCTGCTGCAAATGGATTTAGAGTCTTCACAGTGTTACCAAAGCAGAGTGTCAAGATGAAAGCTCATGATTTCTGCATTTGTAGTTCAGATTGTGTTCGACAATAGATCGCATGAATCACGGGCCAGCTGTATTAGGGCGTTTCTATTTCACGACTGAACAGGATGCATTTGACCTTTTGCTCGAAAGCGCTCGACGCATCCTGCAGCAACTGCAAAAAGAGATCGACTTCCTGGAAATGGAACAAAGAACCTGCATCCGCCTTCCTAGCGCAGAGAAAATATGCGAAATTCCAGAGCCGCTACCAAATATAGTGACTAAGAAAAGCGCATACTGCCTTGGCGCAAATATTTACCTGTCACGTCCCATCAATACACCCGGTTTCTACGTTTACCCACAACAAAAATGTTTCTGCCCAGTCGGATGTGGACTCAACATACTAAATAGTGTAGACCATTTCATTCTTAGATGCCGCCGAAGAGCGGCGTACCGACGTAGAGAACTTCCACCTCTCCAAGAGAGGCAATGTTCTGACGCGGAATCAACAGTAAGAACCTGGCCAGAACAGTTGTTGGTACATCTAGAGAGAGAGGGTTCTTTTCAATCTAAAGCGTTAAACCGCTACCCTCCACAGTAGTCTTGGAATTAGAGACACGAGCTCATATAAACAAACACACACAAACACACATGCATCATGAAAGCTGTGTACCGTCGGTACAAGCCGGGTACAAAGGTACATTACCGCTCGAGGAAATACTCTTTCGACAGAAACAGATCCAGCTGGTAGTGCAGGTGTGCCAGCGAGTGTGATCTGAGCGAATGAGTAGTAGTTTAAGGATAAGGTGTTAGCTTTCAAGTCGGGAGGATTACGTCGCATTGCGGGGTGATTCTAATAACCTCTATGGATTTCCGTCGTGCGGACTCTGAAATCAGCCCTTCTTTCAAGCTACGCGTTGTGAGAAGTGAAGCGCTTTCCTGGAAAGGTTGTTTCACGGCACGTTTTCTGTAGACGCCTCTGGAAACAGCATGCGGTACAAACCTACTCCAACGCAGCGCCGAGTCAGGTCGTTCGTGTATGCGCTCCTCACTACCTAAGGAGATTGGTCGGGGGATGTCGCTCTGTCGAAGCACCAGCAGAGCTGCAGTCTGGCGGCGGTCTCAACCTTGAGGCAACGCCATAGCGCGCGATGTCATCCCCAGACCGTCGTTGTTGGCAGGTGGTTGCGTCAATTGATGAGGAAAGAGTTGGGCACAGACGGCGATGGAAGCGTTCTTTTGCATTTGAGCTCTCCGGGGTAATCATGTTCCCACGGTATGCTTCAGGAAAACAAGACTTCCTCCCGCGACAAAAGCGCCGTCAAAGATGTGGAAGCTCCCTCCGCCCTGATGATGAGCCACAGAATTTCTAGAAAGAAACGTGCCATCGTACACGTAAATTACGGAAGGTACAGTGCTGTAGCATGACGGAGGTGAATACAGTGCAAACTTAAATGCTTTTAACGGCATCCACACATGGGCCGCACATCGACAGCAACTTGCCACTCCAAACCGTCTGACGCGCTGCCATTTATGACATCTAGCTACCCTTCGTACCGTTCGGTATGTAAAGTCTAATCCAGAATGTCCAGAATGTCGCTAACGTTCGTGAGCGTGCCGCGTCCCATACGCGCCGATAGCTGTACACCGATACTACCACGCTTATCACTCCTTCATCTCACTTTGTTGGTGGCCGTCTTTATGCCGGCTCTTGTTGTTCTCTACTTTTCGGATCTGCACCTATTGCTTCCTTCTGCCTCCATAGTGCCGGGCTCAGCGCGCCTCACTTCGCCCCTTGCTGACGACGATGCCCTGCTCAAACTTATTACCGACAAAAATCGAGACTTTGTTTACATCCCCAGCGCAGATATCCTGCTAGCAACGCTAGCGAAAGGCGGATCCACCTCACTGTTTCAATGCATTTTCGCAGGCGTCACAGGTGTTCCAAGATACTCCGTCAAACAATGCGGCTCATATGTACACAATGTTCATTCCCCCTGTTGGAATAACCAAGCCACCTATCTCTACAACCTGTCGCTTCCTCACCGTCGGAAGGTCCTCACAGGAGCTACTACACTTCGTGTCGCAATCCAACGCAATCCATACGACAGACTTTTATCAGCTTTCAAATCGAAATTCACATGTAACACAACGTTGTACGGCACGGACGTAAGGAATCGAGAATCTATGGTACCTACTCTTCGAAGACAAGCTGCATTACCACTGACGCAACCGAACTGTATGAATATTTCCGAATTCGCAGAAGCACTTGATCGATGCCGTCAAATCGTCACCTCAAACCGCACTCTGCCATTCGCCTCCAAACTTAAGCATCTGCGCAAACTCGACATTCACATTCGACCGCAACAGTTCTTCTTTGAGTATATATCGTATCATATCGTACTTGATGTGGACGATTTATCAAATGTAACCAACTTGACCCCTCTGCTAAGAAGATTGCCCTTTGTGGATTTAGTTTCCGACGGTGTACGTCAGGAGCATGCTTCTAAGAGTTACAATTTGCTCGTACCGGAGTTGGCTGCAGGGCAGTTGCATCGCTTTGCGCTTGAATCAAAAGTAGGTGCGATCAAATATCCTACATCTGTTTAAGCTCGTCTTGCGCATATCTCTATTTACCAAGCGTACCATCCACTGGTAACGATTTTGGATGGCCATACTTGCGAGAGCACAGCTGTGCTACTGAGCGGTAAGGGCAAACGATTGTTGCCGTGAGAACACATGTCCACCCCTATGAGCGTCACGCTTGTTTGGTGAATTGAAGAACTCCTCACATTTTGTCGACCACGATGACCCAAGTCGGGCTTTGCAACAATCTTTGAACAGATAGCACTCCTCGCATCGATGGGTTTGTGAATACGATGAAGAGAAGGGGCAGATGACGGGAGCCGTGAGCGCCTCACATTTGTTTCGTTGAGCACGACAACATTAACCGTGAACTGCTTTATTGCGAGTGGATGATTGAGTCCATCATGAATCAATCCATCATATTGAATGCATTCAGATCAGGATTGGCCCTCCCTGTTTGCTCCGGACTCATTTCTGCATCGATTCATGCTTCCAACCTGTATGCTATGCTAGATGATGTAGAGCTAGTAGAATAGATCACTGAGGCAGGATACAATGACTGGACTGCTAACCCTGTTAATACTGTAGCTGTAGATAGTAAAGGTAGCTAGTGTGTACGCTCTTCGAAGTGAATTCGTTCACTGCCGAGCTCCTTAGTTTAAGACTTCTACACTGTCTGAGTATGCGCTTTCTTTCTATGCCCACTGGGTTTGCAGCCCATCAGTAGATAGATAGCTTTTTCGTGGTCAGGGAGGGGCCTAAACACCATCGCTAAGCCCCGGGAATCTGTGAGCTTTGCCGCTGTTCCTTTCAAGCATCCCCAACGCCGCTACTTCGGCAGAGTAGAAGTAGACCCTCATCACTACTAGCATAATCCCTGTTGCCGTCTTCCCGAATTCCTTCCGTTGTGTACACTTCACGGGCAAGTGATGCTCATTACGCATCCACAAGGTTTTCCGTCGTATTCCCATCGAACACCTGCTCGCAGAATCAACCTTGAACAATCTTAAGTATGTATGAATGTATGTGTGTTTAAGGGCGAACGCTACTAATTCCGAAAGCGTGGTAGGAGCTCTTATCAAAGAACTCCTGTCTCCGTAAGAGTTCCAACACTCTTTACGACCATTTTTTCACTACTGCTGCCACTCCAAGCCCTTGATAGATTAATCGCAGGGAGTGCAGTGTGCATTCTTAAAATCGATTCGGAGAGTATTGAAACCTTGGACTGTTTTTCGTTGATAGCCAATGCTTGTTCATGACGATGAAGGATTGATTACTGATATCCACAAAAGATGGAACTTTTATGCAATTCTGAAGATGAAGAGCACTCGGTCTATCCTTCGAGCCCACCGATAGGGACAAAGATTACCTGCTCTTTGGTAGCTCTTTACCTGAATTAACGAAACAGGGTGATTGGCTGTGGTGTTACGTCACTTTCTTAATATAGAAAATGATTTCCATGAATAATGTGAGAGCCATTACATGTCATTGTTGCACACTTACCCCCCTTCCAGTGTCATGGCCGAGGGCACTTTCCCTTTGGCAGGTGCAACGGTACACGTAGTCTCAAGAATAATAATCCACGACCTAGAGCTAGCAAGGAGTATTCAAGGAAAGTAACACCATGCCTCAACTCTCCATATTGCGAAAGCACGCGATTCCTCAAGTAGTC